TTATTGAGATATTTTTGTCTTTCACCTAAAATTGCAATCTGCATTGACACGCAAGAGACACGACAACATTCAAATACATATATTTATTTACTTTTTTGTTTGTTTGTTGTTCTTGTTGAATGTTGATGATAAAAATTTAAAAAACTATTATTTTTTATCGCACATTTGTTTGATATGGATATCTCACGCACCAATATCGCAATAAAGATATTATTCCGATACATCATGCAGCCCTAGTTCTCACCAGCACAATTTTTTTAACTGATGCTGCAATTTTGATATATTGCGGATATAATAACGGGAAGTAAAAGAACTAGGAATATGCTTTGGCTCAAGTTAAAAGTGTAAAAAATACATGTAAAGGCATGCTTAAAAACCTTCATCAAATCTCTTAAAATGTCTACTTTAAACAATTGCACACTAAGTACACACAATAGACATTTAACAGTGCAGGTTAAAGCTCTGCAAGAATATAAGGGAATTTAGAGAAGCAAGTTTAGTTGATTGGTTAGTAATATCTTTATTATCGAGCAGTCAAAAGACCAATAATCTTTTTTATTTTTTTTAAACAATAATTTATTGCTTTTTTCACAAAAACACACAGTACATTACAGCCAGCACAGCACGTTTACATATGTTCATAAGTAAGGGTGAAAATAATATTAATAATAAAACAAATAAGAATACTTTTTTCGATCATTGATTAAATTTGAAAACAAAGTGTGAGCCTCCTTTACAAAGTAAAGTCGATAGGTCCCGAGGTAGATGGTCCAAGAAGGGTTGCCATATCTTGTAAAAAATGCAGAAATTTCCCTTTGAGAGGGCACTGAGACGTTCCATTGGAAAAACTTTAAATGTTTCCCTGTACGATTGTGTGACAGACGGAGGTTTTGTCTGTATCCATTGTAAAAGGATGCATCTCCTCGCCAGATGTAAAAGTTTTCGTAATAGTGCCCCCTGCCCGGGCAGCACAGGAAGCCTCTCAGATACACCTAATAGAAATAAGGGTCCACTGAGATGGTCTGGTGAAATATGGATCGGAGCACAGTAACAATGTTCTTCCAAAACCTGAGTATCATAGGACACTGCCAGATACAGTGATAATAGGTCCCCACTGTTTGTTTACATTTTATACAGAAAGGAGAGCGCTGAGGTTGAATCTTGTGCAAAAATTGTGGAGTCCGTTGCAGTCTGTGCAAGATTCTATATTGATTCTCCTGAAGTCTGTTACAAGCGAATGTCTTTCTAGCCAACATAAATGCACGTGACCAGGCCTCGTCACCAAGCTCAACCCCCAAATCTGCTTCCCAATGGGCCCTGGAATAACCAGCCAGAGGTTTTGATACGATGATTTCATTATAGAAAAGAGAGATACACTTCTTTTTTGGAGTAAGGCTCTCATTAAGTTTGAGGAGACATTTTTCAATTGAGTTTAAGATTGGTTGATCTTTAGGGAAGGAGAGGGATAATTGAACAAAGTGTCTGACCTGGAGAAAACCATAAAAGTCTTTTTGCGGGATGTCATATATATCCCTAATTTGCTCAAACGACATGAAAGCATTATTTTGGTAGAAGTCACACACTAGTTTCAAACCTTTACTTTCCCAATTATCAAATATGCCAAAATCCATACCAGGGGTGAATGCTATGTTTTTAATAAGAGGTTGCATTGCACTGGAAAAGTGTTTACGTCCCAGATGTTCTCTTATATTACGCCATGCTCTAAAAGTTGCAAACAAAATATTGTTATTCTTTACTTCGATTGGAAGGTTACCCAAATCTAAGGGCAATAAGCTCAACAGTGACTGTTCACAACACCAACCATCCACGTGTGACTCAGCGTGGTGTAAAAGTGAGTGTATCCATCCTGATACTATCCTTATATGACAGGCCCAATAGTAGTACTGAAAGTTAGGCAACGCCTGACCACCCCCTTCAACAGGAAGTTGTAAGGTTTTCATTTTAAGTCTAGATTTTTTCCCATGCCAAATAAATTTTGATATGAATTTGTCAATTTCTGAAAAAGTCGTTTTATTTATTTGAAGAGGTAACATTTGCATTGGATAAAGTATCCGGGGAAGTATGTTCATTTTTATCAAACTTATCCTGCCTAGTAATGATAGGGGGAGGTCAAACCACCTATTAAGATCATTTTTAACTGAATTGAGAACTGTTCTGAAATTTAACTTGTATAATTCAGAGGTGTTTGCTGATATTTTAATTCCTAAATACGTGAAGCCTTCCATAGACCATCTGAAGGGAAAATTAGGTGGAGGATTACACTCGCCCCTTTGAGCCCCAAGGGGTAGGGCTTCTGACTTCTCAAAATTGATTTTATACCCAGAGATCTGGCCAAATTTATTAATAATAGAAAGTAGAGTTGGAATGGATGTCTCTGGCTTAGTAATAAACAGCAAGACATCATCTGCATAAAGTGAAATCTTGTACTCAGTATTAGCCAATTGGATGCCAGTAATGTCAGGATTACTCCTTATAGCCTCCGCCAGCGGTTCCAAAGCCAGCGCAAATAATAGGGGGGAAAGGGGACAGCCCTGACGTGTTCCCCGGCCCAAATGGAAAACCTCTGAGACTGAACCATTGACCAGAACCCGTGCAGCAGGCGCACTATACAACAATTTCACCCACTGAATGTATTCGGGTCCCAGGGCAAATTTATGTAGTACTCTGAATAGGTACCCCCACTCCACGCGATCAAATGCTTTTTCAGCGTCCAATGAAATAGCAAGAGCTTTAAATTGCTTATTTTGTGAAAATTGTAGGATGTTTAGGAGTCGACGCATGTTGAAGTGGGAGCATCTATTTCTTACAAATCCTGTCTGGTCAGGCTTCACCAGAGTTGGTAGAACCCCCTCCAACCTCCTCGCCAAGACTTTAGATAGAATTTTGCAGTCCACACCGAGCAGACTGATTGGTCTGTAAGAGGTGCACATATCATGAGGCTTATCTTTTTTCAGAATTAGGGATATATGTGCTAAATTTAGAGTTGGTGGGAGAGTTCCACGCCCAAGTGACTCTCTATACATATTTAACAGTGGACTGACAATTTTCTTTGCCATTTTTTTATAGAAATCAGGCCCAAACCCGTCCGGACCAGGGGCCTTTCCACCTTGCAAAGTCTGTATGGCCTTCAGAACCTCCTCAGTTGTTATGGGACTGTCCAAATCTAGTTTTTCCTGTTGAGATAACACAGGGAGATTGATCCCATTAAAGAAATCCTCATTAAGATTCACTCTGTCGTCACATTCAGAAGTGTATAATTTTTGATAAAACTCCTTCATTATTTCAGAAATCTGTTTTGTTTCAAATTTTAAATTGCCTTTTCGATCTTTAAGAGAGGATATAGCAAAAGATCCACTCTTTCCCTGCACAAGCCGGGCAAGAAGGCGTCCCGGTTTATTTCCAGATTCAAAAAGTCTATGTCTAGCATAAAATATAGCATTTTCTGCTTTTTGAGTAAGTAATTGGTCTAAAGCTGATCTTGCAGCATCTAATTTTTTTAAAGCAGACTGTGAGGAGGAGTGTTTAAAATCCTGCTCCAAAATAACAACTTCCCGTTCAAGTTCTAACTGTTTCGTGATGGTATCCTTTTTTTTTGCGGCAACAAATGATATTATAGAGCCTCTAAGAAATGCCTTGCCTGCCTCCCACAAGGTAGAGGCACAAATCTCTGGTGTATCATTCACAGACATGAATAATTCCCATTGGTCCTCCAAGTATTTCAAAAATATAGAGTCACTCAGAAGAAAGGGATTCAAACGCCAACGCCTTGATGAGGGATCATGATAGGGTGGTAATAATTCCATAGATACAGATGAGTGGTCTGATAGGACACATGGATTAATGGAACAGAGCTCGGCCCTATCAAGAATGGATCTAGAGACAAATAGAAAGTCAATTCTAGAGAAAGACTGATGGGGACGTGAAAAAAAGGTGTAATCCCTAACACCCGGGTTACAAATCCTCCAAGCATCAAGAAGACCAAGATCAGAGCATAACTCGGATGTTGCTCTCCCCATTCTGGTTGGAGGCTGTGTCTTAGGTGGATTGTAATCGCTCACCTGATCAAGGCCACAATTGAAATCACCACCTATTATTGCATGGGCGGGGCATATGGAGGACACGTCTGCTAGAAATGTTGAATAAAATTGACTGTCATATGAATTCGGTGCATACACATTTCCTATTAATATTTTTTCTCCGTATAAAACACCAGTTATTACAATAAATCGTCCCTCTTCATCTTTTACAATTTTATCAACAGTAAGTGGTAGGTTTTTGTGGATGAGTATTGCCACTCCTCTACTCTTTGAGTTAAACGAGGAGTAGTAAGTCTGCCCCACCCAGTCCCGCTTTAGTTTAGAGTGCTCAAGGTCAATCAGATGGGTCTCCTGTAATAATGCAATCTGCACCTTTTCTTTTTTAAGCATTGAGAGTACTTTACGCCGCTTAATAACGTGATTTAGCCCCTTGACATTTAGAGTTAGTATCTTTGTGTTACTCATTAAGGATATTGTAATTGGACGAGGACAGGTGCTCTACAGTAAAATAAATAAAAAATAATAAAGCAAATGACCTTAGACTAGCTGTGCTGGTATGAACAACACCATCATTCATTGATGGCCAAAGAACAAAAACAAACACATGAACCCATATAAAAAAGAAAACCACCAACATCAAATTCCACCTAAGAAGTGGTGTTAAAAAAGAAAAACCTCCCAGGCGTAGCCAAAAGATGCTTTCGCTCCACAGGAAATTTAATTAATCCCACCCCCGCTCCCACCAAATAAACAATTAACTTGACTACCAAGAATAATGCAGCCTAAATAATATTGCAAAAATATAACTTCAAGAAGTCGAAATATAGAACACTTTTGTGGAGTTCAAAGTAATATACTACCGGTATGTCCAAGATTTCCTCCATACAACACTGAAAACAATGGACTCACGCGTACGAGCCTCTTCCGTGCGGCTCCACAGCTTCAGTTCAGTGTGTCAATGAAAGCTTGCGCATCCCTTGGAGTAAAGAACTTGCGTACAGTGCTGCCATGTGTCAAGGTAAGTGTAGCGGGATACCTCATATTGAAGCAAATGCCTTTCCCAATGAGAGCACGGCACACATCGTTGAAACCGCTCCTCTTCTCACGCACCGCAGCAGACAAATCTTGATGAATGTAGATCCGCTGCCTATCGTGTTTCAGCTCCGGTACTGCTTTTACCGCGGCCATGATCCGTTGTTTGTCCCGGGAGTTGTGAAGCTTGATTATCACGGGACGTGGACGTGCACTTTGCGGACCGAGACCCCTGTGTGCGCGGTCCATTTTGATGCGACTTGTCACGGGGCCAAGACCCTTGTCAAGTCCGAGAAATGCGGGCAGCCACGTCTCAAAGAACTGCAGTGGATTAGATCCCTCCGCTCCTTCTTTGAAATTAATAATCCGAATATTGTCCCGTCGGCTTCTGTTTTCCATGTCATCCAAACTATTTGCCATCAGAGTTATCTTTTTCTCCGCGGCAGCGAGTCTCCCAGCCAAATCATCCACAGTATCTTCAGTATTCGAGACTCTCTGCTCCACGTCGTTAATACGTGTGGTGTGTCCCTCCAGCTTGGTGGCAATCTTGTCCAGTGCCTCTGAAAATACAGATAATTTTTCTTCCATGGCCGCGCTGAAGCTCTCAGAGACTTTCAGTATCAGAGCCTCCGTGTCGTCCGGGTCCCGAGCTTGGTCTGCAGGCGGGCTGACCTCTGGCGAGCTAATGTTAGCATTAGCAGCCGCGGCCGTGAGCTTTTTTGCATGGATTTTTGTCTGCTTCGACATGGTTCTCCGCATCAGTGTCAAGAAGTAAAAAAAAAGTTGTTGGGTAGCACAATAAAGTGTAAAATTGGTAGTCGTGTGTATTACAGCGTAATAAGGGTGGTTAGGATCGGGAGCTCAGCGAAGCACGTCTTCTAGCCAGTCATGTCCACCGGAAGTCCCACCAATAATCTTTTTAATTGTCCTTGTATTCTTTAGTATAAAATGTTGAAATGTTTAGTGAAAGACATGGATTGAACTCATTTGAATATGTAAACAATAAATACATGTCAAGAGCATGGTCAAGAGAATGTTGCACAAAATCATATGTGGTATAGTTCTCATAAAGTCTCAGATGGTCTTTGTAAAATATCAACAGACTGAAGCAGACATATCTCCTGTGTGGACATTAGTAGTGCCATAATGTGCATATGGCTGCAGTGACATTATCTCCCTCATCTTTTCCCATATTCATTATTTTAAAATGTTGAATTTACTACAAACTCCTCCACAGACCAGTTTTGTGACGCAAAGTGCACAAGCTCTCTGTGTAGTCACAGTGCCCCCTTCACACCGGACTGTTTAACCTCTTTACTAACACCGGCGCGCCGGCGGCTGTTTTTATGTTTTTAAATGTTCTGCTGGCAATAGCAGATGTATTTTGAACATCAAACCCCAAAAGCTGTATATCATTTTGAAGCTTATTTTCTTCATTTATCTACATTTATATACAAGTGTAAACCACATCATTTTGCATTCAAAAGATATAACACATAATGTGGGCACAAAATAAATCAATTCCGAAATAGTTTTTTACCTTTAGGCTTGTGCTGTACAAATAAATCAGCTCTCCTCCCAGCTTGCAATACATCATTCTCTCTGGAACAGTCCAAAGGAAAATTATATCCACTTGTATTTCCCAAAGTAAAATCCATTCTGCAGAAATAATCCAAAAATGTGCATTTATCTTTAGCGAAAAAAACGAAAAAAAAAGAGCACAGATGTTACTCTTTCACTTTTAACAGACTTTTAGCTTTGTTTTTCACCCAAACATCTGGTATCCACGTGTTCCTTAGCTCCTTATCTTTCAAATGAGACTACTCCCGAAAAGCTAGACCAATTTTTGGGTCTGCAAGAGGTCCCGTAAGTACAGCTTGCGCTGCTGTTTGCGCATTGAACACTGATCTTTTGTGGGGTCCCAACTTGTTTGCTTTTACTTCCGGGATTTACGATTGACATGTCCTTGTAGCCAATGAGGAACGCTTTCGAACAAGGGGTGGGACAATGGTGTCCTGTCTTATGTTGGGCCTGGACAATTGTGCGTAATGGAAGCCAAAAGACGCTCTCGAAGCTGCAATGAATTTACACTCATAAAAAAATAACTTTGACATTTAAAAAAGAAAAACACACATAGATTAGTAACTTATAAGTACCAATAATAAACAATATCGTTTTTATGATGATTAAATGTAAGGAAAGATATTTGGCACAATTTGGCACACTTGTGCCAAATTGTGCCAAATGTGCACTACTTGATGAAAAGGAGAAACTGCATAAAAACTATAAAACTTAGAAGTCTGAAACTTTAGACAGTTGTTGTCAACAACACAATGACCACAGGGTTTGAATATTGTGAACTTACAATGAAGTATGCCTTTTTTAGGGCCTTTAGAAATTGAAAATGTTAGGCGAGGCGAAAAAAATTGGGTTTTTTTCCCTAACTTCAAAGGATGCAGAGGAAAATAGGGATGACAAACATTATTTTAGTGTTTTTTTACATAAACTAGAAGGCTCTAGCTTTAAAATGATGCATCACACAAGCATGTGAGATGTAAGATGTGTTTTTAAATAAGCAAAGACATTTGGGTATGCCCAACCATTGTGCACGAGCCAAAATGAGGCGGATGTTAAGAGGTTAAATAAAGCTTTGTGAGGACTCTTTAAGCAGCTGGTTGGACCAAACAAAGAGATCAATAGTTGGTCCACTCAATAGGCCACCACCAACCCTTTCAATCTCCTCGTTTGCTGAATGCGTGAATCATATTTGGGACCTCCTGGAGGCCCGGCTCAGTCCCTGTGGGTGACTTGTCCGCTCTGACCGCGACCATGTGTTCCCTGTTGACCGCAGTGTGCTGACAGGGGACAGGTGGAGCTGTGTTGTACTCAATGCAGCAGCAGAATTACATTATTTTGTATGTCTTTTATATATTTTTCATTTAACAAGGGTTTCATTTTGGTTAGTCTAGTATACGTCCCCGTCTTCTGTCTGGTTTCGTCGGAACAGAAAGCCTCTTTGATGCGCCTGGTGCTGAGCATGTTGTGGAGAGAGTGACAGAAGGTGTGTGTTGGAGGGCTGCAAACATGGGGAGTCCCAGCTGAAGAGCCAGCTGGTGGAGGGAGGGAGCTCCAGTCTGTGCGGAAGGGAATTCTCCATTCAAAAGGCACGGCAGAGGATAACCCTCTGCAAATGTGCGTCCTCAAATTATAAGATTGTTGCAAATCATTTGGCTTCAGTAAAAGGATGGCTATTGTATTTAATGAATACTTTTGTATTTGAAATGTAAAAGTGCAGCCTCTTGCTCGCTGAGCAAGTTGGATCGGTTCAAGTGGGTGATGAGGATGTCTTTCTTTTACTCGACATCTAATTGTCCCCTCTGGCAAAGTACACAATTACAGCAACATCATGACTTCAACCTGCCTGGCTGGTATGTGACAGTGGACTGAGTGGAGTATTCCAAATGCTTCAAAAGATCCTCACGTAGAACATTTTGTGAAAGGAGACAGACTATTACATGTTAGTGGTCTTATGCACTATTGTACTGTTAATGCACTGTATATATATATATATATATATGTGTTTTCTAAATACTCACAGATCTTCCTTCTGTAACAGGTACAATGGCTCACTACCCAACGGAGACCGGGGAAGACGGAAGAGCAGATTTGCTCTGTACAAGAGAACCAAAGCCAACGGTGTGAAGCCGAGCACTGTGCACATCCTCAACACACCCCAGGCCTCCAAGGTACAGAACATTCATGATATATGAGCACTTATTAGCACCTTGGGAGTTTAGTGAGGATGTGGATGCATTAGTGCGCCTCTGGCTGAGTGAACGGTCCACATGTGAAGTCTCTTGACATTATGCTCGGCCTCTGTTATGTTAACATTTTACAGCACAATGACTGCAGTTCTAAGTCAGGCCTCTGAGCCGTTTCTGCTCCACAGAGACCGCCAAAAACGGCACCATCCTGTATAACATGTCGGCATTCCAGCTTTGGTTCCCAGGCCAAAGTGCCAAGCAGCCAGAGGAGCTGAGCTCCATACTGTTCAGAGTGAGACTCTGCCAGGGGCCGCAAGTCCAGGGGCTGCCAGTCCTGGGGCCGCTGGTCCAGGGGACTCTTTGATGCACTTGTTGCAGACGCACACTGATGGGTTCAAAACAAAAAAACAAATGACACATTGTAGTTACCTGTTAACTGTTGTCTTTACCTGAAAGAAGGAAGTACAAATCTTTTGTAAAGACAAAGGTCACTGGATGCCTGTCCCTCTATACCTCTTACAAGGTTTTGTCATATTTGTCAGTTTCAAAGTCCAGAAGCCATATTTTATTTGCATGTTGGCTTCCTTCTGCCAACTTGTTACTAACTGGTGGCATTTTTAGAAGGTGAACATAAAGTTCTCGCAGTTGCCTGACCCCTGAATACCAGCTGCTATGATGGTCAAAAATACCCTGCAAAAGGCAAGGTGTAAGCATGGGACAGATTAGTACGGCCTTTAGCTCATGTTTAGTTTTCCAGCTCTGCTCCAACAGCTCAGCCGTGCTCTGGGCTGGATGGAAACACTCACGTGCTCTCGCACACCAACATGCAGCAATTATTTACCAGCGTAACCCAAGGACTGAGGACATGCGCTGCATGTGTGTGTTATTTTTACTGTACAAGTGCAGTAAAAATATAGATTTAAATGTTCAGTCGTGGAAGGAACAGGTGGGGGCCATTTGTGCTGCACTTGTGGCATTTGTCCCTGTCTGTCTGAGGTTTCAGCAGCAGCTGACCCACTTCTGTCCCCTGTGCACGTGGACGGCCTAGGCTTGTTTGGGGAATGGAATTCACAGATTAGCCTGGGATGATAATAGCATGTGGTAAAGTGTTGATGTGCCTGGGGCTCCCTAGATGCACCCACCCCTCACTAACAGACTAAATTGGGGGACTTCAGCTTGGAGACAGGCCTCCTGAACATTAGAGCCTCTGTGGTTAGAAGGAGGCTGACTTTCTTTGACTTTGACTCTTATGTCATCAATTCCCATAACTTGTCACAGTTGAGTTGGAGTAAAAGAAGTTACAAAAAGCTCTTATAATAACTTTTATTTGTAACTATCAGAAATTAGGTGTATCGATTTGATAGATTGATGCTCAAGCTAGTTTCTATATTTGATACTAGTTTTAGAAAGTTTCGATACTAAAGGCAACTCCAGTTCAGTTTCTTCCGAGCACAATAGGAAGTCAAAAGCAGTCTAAGCTATTGTTACTTTTCAGGACATTTTTATGTTTCAGGCTGTGGCTTAAATACACTGTGCACCAGCTGACCCCTCACTGTTTCTGCTGCTGCATTATAGCAGTCTCTCCAACCCATAAGGGACACACGGTGATGGCAGGGATCCGTAATTACCACAGCTGTGATGCAATGTTTGTGTAAGACATTTGGTAGATATTTCCTGTTTGCCAATTGTTCACAGGTCCAGTGTCAAAGCCACAAACCAGAAGAGACTTGGCAATAGGATGTTACCATCTGCTCGTGCTGAACTGCATGCATGTAAGAAATGTTTATTGATTTGTTTTCCAGGCTGTTAACAGTAAAGGCCAGCACAGCATCTCCTACACACTGTCCAGGAACCAGACAGTGGTGGTGGAATACAGCCATGACAAAGACACAGACATGTTCCAGGTAAAATATACAAGAAGGAACATCGGACTTCACTTGTTTCAGCCACATTTGCTTATATTAAAGTGTGTATTATCTTTTTGCAGATTGGGCGCTCCACAGAAAGCCCCATTGATTTCGTGGTGACAGACACTGTAGCAGGAGGCCAGGAGGGCGAGGAGAACCCCATCACTCAAAGTACCATTTCCCGCTTTGCCTGCCGCGTGGTCTGTGAACGCAACCCTCCCTACACCGCCCGCATCTACGCCGCCGGCTTTGACTCATCCAAAAACATCTTCCTCGGGGTAATGTCATATTACAACACAAATACATTGCACTTTCTTCTACTTTGCTCTTGTTTTGAGGTCAATTATTGTTGACGTCAATTTTCTTTTGTCTTCAAGGAAAAAGCTGCAAAATGGAAAAATCCTGATGGTCACATGGATGGACTTACAACAAATGGTGTCCTGGTTATGCACCCAAAAGGGGGTTTCACTATAGACTCAAAGCCTGGCGTCTGGAGAGAGATCTCTGTGTGTGGAGATGTGTACACTCTGAGGGAGACCAGATCAGCTCAGACCCCTGGAAAGCTGGTCAGTAGTCAGCAGTAATTGTGCAATTGTGTAATTTGAAGGCACCTGATGATGATGATAATGATAATAATAATGATAATGATGACGATGATGCACTTTCTTTACTGGGCAGGTGGAACATGAGAGCAACATCCTTCAGGACGGCTCTTTGGTGGACCTGTGCGGAGCCACACTTCTCTGGCGCACGGCAGAGGGGCTCTTCCATACTCCCACACAGAAACATTTGGAAGCTTTGAGGCAGGAGATAAATGCAGCACGTCCGCAGTGCCCTGTGGGACTCAACACCCTGGCCTTTCCCAGCATGCAACGCAGCCGTGCCCTCTCCTGTCTTGAGGACAAGCAGCCCTGGGTCTACCTCGCCTGTGGCCACGTTCACGGCTACCACAACTGGGGCCACCGCTCAGAGCAGGAGGCCTGCCCCCAGCGGGAATGCCCCATGTGTCGCATGGTGGGGCCCTATGTGCCGCTCTGGTTGGGCTGTGAACCTGCCTTCTATGTGGACACCGGGGCCCCCACTCATGCCTTTGTGCCCTGTGGACACGTGTGTTCAGAGAAATCTGTCAAGTACTGGTCTGAAATCCCTCTGCCTCATGGAACCCATGCCTTCCATGCGGCCTGCCCCTTCTGTGCCAGCCAGCTCAGTCTCCCTCAGGGCTGCTCCAAGCTCATCTTCCAGGGCCCTGTGGACTGAGATCTGCTCTGGCTCAAAGATTAAGGACAAGTGCCAACATGCTGTGAAACTCTTTAGATAAAGATAGTGCTTTCTATTGTTTGTGTAAGCCAGACTGTCTCAGTGTTGGTCATCTACTGTGGATCATGTGCATCAGAGCGATCAGACTGTTAAGACTTCCAGATGCATGGCGTACACTGCACCACGTTGCCTGGCTCGCTGATGATGAAATACTGTCTCTGCAAGTTGCTTGAAATGATGCTCGAGCACTGCGCTGGTTTTATATATTTTGACTGCTGGTTTTCAACTGCAGACTCCCAGATTACAGAGGGAGCATCGGACAGGTCTGGTGTGCAAAGGAGAATCCATGGCCCTGGCTTTACCGTGGAGTTCCTGATGAGCTGGACACTAGTTTATACCAAGCCTGACAGCTGGACTGTTGGCTGTGACTAGAGCCAGGAGACAAGGAGCTCCCCACTTTATCCCTTAGACTCACCAGAGTCTCCAAAGTGCAAAACAACGAGGGCTAAATGTACAGAGATTTTAACTAGTGCCTCAGATCCTATTGAACTGTGGGATTTTTTTCTTTAAGAGATATTTTGTTGAAGGCAAAGGAGATAGATTTTCATACTGAAAAGGAAGGAACACAGACGCTCTGCAGTTTTACCAGGCAGAGAAACGGCCTTGTACTGTTTTGTAATGCAAATGTTAATATATATTTTTCTGCATAAATAATATGTGCGTGAATGGTTTTGTGTGTGTGTTTTGGCTGAGTGGGCACGCAGTCATTTCACAACAATGACTTCTCATTTAATCCCCTGCAGACAAAGAAACAAAGCAGGACTTTATTGTGAATATACTGAGATACTGCAAATCTTCCCACAGGTGGCGCTGTTGCCCTGAAGACTACTTCTATGCACGTCTGCCCCTTTACAATGTACTGTATCCAATCTGTTGATAGCTTTATCACATGTTGGGGCTAATAATCCAATAGAAAAGTGTGGCTTCCTAAGATAATACCAAATATAAAGCGGGCTTGCACTTTCTCCATGCAACAACAGTCTTTTTCTGTTCTCCAAAGTATCGTCCGGTAAACCATCCCGAACCCACTGCTGCTATAGTGAAAGGATGACGCACATAATGCACATCCAAGCTCCATGAGAATAATATCATCACACGCAGTGCCAAGATCTGGGTTTTATCGTGTGGGAATAAAATGTCCTGAAAGTGATATACAGTAGTTTGAAAGAAATGTGTCGAGGGATCTTGGCAGATTGTGTCTAGTGCTGTGCTAGTCTTATCAGCACATTCATTTTTGATAACGTAAACTCCAAATTGTATGATTGGATTCCATTTTCAACAAGGCTCATTTTTGTGTAAAGACAGGAACAGTTACTTTGTGATTTAGAACGCCATGTGAGGAATGAGCTTTGTAAAAAATAATGTACCGTCACTCTGTCAGATACCAGGCCAAAGATACTAAGTGAAGCCAAAAGCTACAGAAGAGGGAGTTACCAAGAGTCCAGACCATGACTCTAGATCTGCCCTCTGTGTGGATGCTTTCTGATTCTTTTTAAAAATGAAACTAAAGATGACAAATATTAAAGCGACTATAACTAAGTGTTATATTTGTTGGAGCCTCTGAATCACATGTGACTGCCATGCAGGTCAAGTGCACAGACAGACTGTCCTGAAGCATTCCCTCTTGAACACTGTTGTTGCTTCAGACTGCTCTAACAGCCTGTCTTACATTCCTCTTTGGTAAACATGGGTGGGGCCCTCCGCTCACACAAGGCCTTGTTCTATGATTTTTGTTCCTACGAGAGCTCTGTACTCCAGCCATAGAACACACCGATGCTCCTGATGCCTCCTTTGCAAAGAAATAAAATATTTTTGAAAAGTACACACCCTGCGTTGTTGTTGTTTTGCCCGTTTGGCTCAGTCACTGGGAAAGCAGGTACAAGTCAGGGAGGCTGTGGTCATTAAAGTAAATGGGTGATGTGGTCTCGTCCTGTCTGTGTGCAAAGTCTTTGAAGTGCAGATGTGTTGGCTATGAGCACAATGCGAAACTGCTGTTAATCACTATTACATACAAGTTTCATCATTCCTTTGTTAGACTTCCCTTGGATCTTTTTCTTTCTTATTTTTTTTTAACAAGAAAATGACTATATTTGATACATCTACAGATAGAGATCAGACTTGTGAAGTTCTGCGTTGTCATAAAAGGGCCATGCAGCGGTGGAGATCGGGTTTGTTCGCTCATGGAAAATCTTTCTCCTACATATATTACACGTCACAGTATTTATGATTCATGAGCATATTAAATGACATCACTGTTTCCTTGATCAAAGTAGAGCAAGTTGTAACAAAGCTCAACAAAGTAAACTCCACCACCTCTGTGTAGGAATTGGGAAACGTAATAAAATGTATCTGCCGCACTAATATTAGAATTATTGCCCTAAGTGGCTCCAAAATAATACTCAAATACCATGTGAGTTAAGTTTGAGTGGAAAAACCTATTGCCTTTAGGGCACGGGTCTCCAACCTGTAGCTTGGGAGCCACCAGTAGCTTGCCACCCCCTTCCAGGTAGCTCGCCAAAGGATTTAGAAATGAGCAAATTATACACTTGTTATTTCAGATTGTATTATTCATTATCATTATTTATTATTGTAAATGCATAACAAATATGTGACGTGACTGTACCCAATATCAGGCTCGTTCACGCTAATATATCACCACATATTTCTGGGTGAAAGAGGTTGGAGACACCTGCTTTAGGGCCTGTACCAAATGTTGCAGTTCCATCACTATCCACTTGGGGGCGCTGCTTCCTCAACAATCCGTGAGCTGGCAAAAAGCCCACACATGTTTAGCTCGTGGCGGTGCGGAGATGGAAGGCAGGTTTGATGTTAATTATAAACACGTCTGATTAAAAACACTGTAAATACATCTAAATCAAGCAAAACAAATTAATTAAATTGGCTCGCGCTTACAGTGCACAAGCCCAAATGCAACGCAACACTGGACTCAGCCATTTCAACATTTATTGCAAGTTATTTATCTCGAATCCATATTGCCTCCATGCGTTAAAACCATAGACTGTATATATTAAAACCAAGCACGTCTTTTTTAACGCGCGTTTTTAGATACAGCGTCGCGTTATTTCCCCTTGATCAAAAAGCTTTTATTAGATGCATAAAAATATATATTTTGTGACAGTCTTCTACATGTGACTTTATCTCGTCTATAATTCTGCTCATAAAAGGGGATTTAAAATATACAGCATGGGTCCCGGGCATATAGAGCGGACTGCAGCCGTGGGGACGCGCCGCTTCAGAATGATCGTTCAGAGCTGTGTGCGTCTGTCCCGTCTGCTTTTGTGAATGACAGCAGAGGCGCTGAAGGTGACAGCATGCTAATGTGGGATCACTGGTGGCTTCCCTCCTTTAAGCAGGGCAGGGTTATGCAAATAAAGTAAAATTATACCATGTTTTTTCCCCCCTCGCTCGGGTCCATTATGGGGATGCAAGGTTCATGCGTGCGCCGCTGGTAACCTGGTGATCCTAATTAACTGAACAAGAAACATTATTCACATGATTTATTTCAACAGCCGTCATTTTGGGGTTAATGGTATAAACGTGTAGGAGTGTATAGACTTGTGTTAAGCGATTATCGGCTTCCACTGAACACACTGTGCAATCTCCAAGACAAAAAACTTGAAATGAAGTTTGTCTTCTTCTCATTCTCATTGGTGACAAACACATGAGAAAAGATGGAGAATGAATGTAGGCCGATGTGTAAATTATATACGTATAATATTGCAAAATACGCACGGATCTATTATGAGCTCGAAATAAACCAATTAAAATGGCATTTTATACTTTGCCTAGGGAGTACAGCTAATTGGGAAAAGCTGTATTACTAATACTGGCACAGTTACAATAATGTTGATTAATACTGTCCTTATTCAAATAAGTGAAATAAACAAAACAAATGAACAAATACATGTATTTATTGCTTATTCTTATTTTTTTTTTTTACTTGATTAATACAATACAAACTGGTAAATTTGGGCAAACCTATACCTAGGGGCAGACCTTATAGATTGATGCTGAAGTTTGTTCTGAAAGAGAAAGACACAGCATACACACGACTCAGCTCCACACTATAGGCCCTATAGGGTTTGTCCTTCATGAAGTTGACCTCGTTAGAACTTCACATTGATTGCAAAGGAAAACCCGAGTTAAATTGGGTGTCATGTCCTGCAGCAGCATCACACAACGCCATACCAGACACCAGATATTTTATTAAGACCATATTTTATTTTTAAGTGCCACCAACAGACTGGCTCTGTGTGAGAATACAAGAGTCCCCTATAAGCATGTTTTGGGAGCACTCCTTACATTACATGCTACACATTAATATTGTGAGGAATGAATAAACTGTTAATGTTATCCATAATAAACCATTCATGTGACATCACCGCGTTCCAAAGAGCCTATAACATTGTGGAGGAGGGCCGCTAATTTCTCTGTAATTCAGGGCTAATCCACATGAATCATAAACACAAATTTTCACATGGTCTCATTATTGTCCTATAAAGATGGTGCATATTATATATATATACAAATCTAAATATTCAGGATGTTGGCTACTGTAGAAAAGACATAACATCAGAATAAGACGACTGGTTTGTGGATGTAATGAGCTGGGAAAACATTTGGACATCTAATTTTTCAACTTTTCTTTCAAAAATGGCTTCTTTCCCAAGTAGAGCTGTATATTGTGTGGGGCACCTGAACACTCTCACTTCTCAGCAATAAGGCTCGAAACGGGGACCAACCGGGGAGTGGAGTTTGCATGTTATTCCTGTGTCTGCGAAGGTTTCCTCTGGGTGCTCCAGGTTACCCTTACCAATAAAAAAACATGTACAATAGCTACAATCCTTCAACTCAAGTCCTGACCAGTGCTCCTGATGCCACTGGGGTTCCCTATAATGCAGTGGTCTCCAACCTGTAGC